GGACAATTTGACGTCCCCTGTCGACGGTGGATCGATGTGACACCGTTTGAAATTTGGCGCCTCTATCGAGATTTGACGACAACGCGAGCGACGGTTCGCCGCTTTAACAATGCCTACCCGACAAGTTGGCTTACCGGGGAAACACCGTTCTCGTGACTGCTGGGAACTTTGCGTGTTACGTCAGCGTTACGATTAACGTAGATACCGGCGTAATCCAGGTTAAACCTCGACTCAAAAGCTCACGGACTGTGCCTCGATGGGTGTGCTTCGACGGGAATTCATCGCCTGCACTTAATACCGAAAAGGTATATAGGCTCGGTCGCGGGCTTTTCCGCAGAGTTAATCTCGCGCGACTGCGAGCGTGACGCGTCGTGACGACGTAGTCGGGCACGCGGCTTTCTTTGCTGAATTCCAGCCGGTGATGTAACGCGACGATCGCGTCGCGCTGATTTCAAAATTGGACTATTCGCGTCGATCGGGACCGAAGTGCAATCGAACCGAGCCGCCGCGCCAAGTGTCATCGACCCGTCAAATGTGTCCCATCGTGTAAACGTACATCCATCGTAGATCGTGCATTATCCTAGGACGGAAACCGCGAGAATTGGCGGCGAAACGACGCGCTTGAATCGTTATTGCGGGCTAGCTGGTCGTAATTCGTACGATTTACAATGCACGGACTGAGATGACACACCGAGGCGGAGACTCGCAGCTATGTCTACGGCGATCGTTGGGTGAGTTACGACGATTTCATCGTTGACATGTCTCGCATAGTCCTCTGGGACATCCTTCGGATTCCAATCTACGGCCGATGAATCGGTAACGAAGAGATCCAGGAATATCGTTACTTTTATCGCCGATCGTAATCCTTTCCTCATTGTCACTGCTTCGTGATAAAACCTAGAGAAACTTGGAAATTTTTAGGGTCTCTCGTGAAATGACGCTTATCATTTATTACGTTCCTCTAAAATAAGCACCAAGAGGATCCTCTTTGTTTAAGAGGGTGTTCGATCCCACTCGTTACTCATTGGTCGTAAGGTCCCTAGACCGACCCTATTGGCCGGTCATTTTCCTAGGTTGGTAAAAATGGAAAAGGGTAAAAGTTGGTAAAAATGTAAAAGGGTAAAAATGTAAAAGGGAAGCGAATATAAATATGTATGTTGAACCATTCCGTAATAAACCGGCAAGAACGTTATACGTGCTCGAGTCTTATCCTTCTCCCCGGCATTACAACCACCGTCTGACAACAAGAACGGTACAACCAGAGGGGAATCCTCTAAACAGGATATTCTTAACATGTAAGTATATATACTTAATGATATGTTTTCTTACGAAATATGTTAATTAATATCTGGGATTACAAATCATTACAAAACAGTTTTGCAAAATAAACATTTACTATTTATTATAATTGCACATACATAGCTGAATATTGTTTGTAATTTATATATTAAAGTTTATCAATTTTTATCAATTTTATTTTAGCTTATTGCTTAACATATATGTATTTATTAAAATGTAACACATATATGTGTATTACATTTTACTTATATTACAGAGTGTGCCTGAAAGATATGTAAAAACTGTTGATTCTGGCAGGAAGATTAACAGGATCCATGAGCATTTTTATTTTATATTTCAAATACTTACTCAATAAATATCTCGTTCAAATCGCTTAAATCTTCCCCTTTTAACTACTCATTGTCAGCTACTTTCTCATCCATTATTCGAGCCAGGACACACAAAGAATACCCGAAACGTGGAAGAGACACTCGTAGTAACACGTACCGGCACGCACTGCACGGTGGATATCGTGCATACGAAAAACAAATGCCATCGCTAAAATTGTCTCACAAATAATACATTCTTAAGAATATATTCTTAATTTAAGAAAATATTCCATAAACCGTGATGTTAAAAAGGAAATATGCTTATTCATTAAGAATATTTATTAAGAGGACTTGTAAAGTATAATTTTAAGAATACAATTTTTTCGGTGTCGCTTTCCTCGGAGGAAACTAACGTGAGAGCGCGCGCGTGCGCTCGCGTAATTCTCCCGTGACTTTGGTATTCTTTTTTTACACTCGGTCATTAGCGGATATCGGTGCAAGACGTAAATAACGAACATTAACTGGATGCTGCGTCACGAAGTGCGCCAATGCTGCGCGTGACGCGCGCATGCCGATCTTGCGTGTCGGAATTTGTCACGGTCGGATTTCACGACGTCCCGGAATTTCGCGACTCTTCGGAATTCCGTGACGCGACCACGTGTGTACCGCCGGCCGCGCAGGGTCCAGCTCGGCGGCGCGTGTGCGCATGCATCTGCAGCCTCCGTGGTGCACGCGATCGGTATCGATACATCTGCGCGCGACAACGGTTCTTTCTTTCTTCTTTTCTCACTATCGCGTGCAAATTACACCGATTTATTATCCACCAGCGAACTCGGTTGCTTGCACTAATGCGCACCGAGTGCACACCAAGGCTAGTTTAATTCATTCTTTGTCTCTTTCCACCTGTTACTTTAGAAAAGGACAAACGTGAATTAAACTAAAATTGAAGTTAAACGACGTGTGAAACCCAAGTCAATTTTTATATTTAACTTTGTCTCAAATACATGTTCAAAGAGTACTTGGCCGAAAGGTGATTCGTACAGATGCTGTACGGATCATTTTACTGGCTAACAAGTCTTTAAATATAAGAATTGACTATAAACAAGCCTCAGTGCGCACTGACAATGAGTGTGCACTAGTGCAAGCAACCGAATTAGCTATAAGTCTCCTGACACTTGTAACAAACCTGTAAATTTTAGATAATATCGAGATGAGCGAAAGTGACGATTACGAATCGAGGGTAAAAGATTGGCGCGGTAAACCAAGAGCATCACTCGATGCTCGTGATTAACGAGACAGTCTAGGCTGGAATTGTTCGTCCTCGGCACTCTTTCCATCCTGATGACACACGAAACATCTCACGGACATCTCGCTCGGACATTTTTCCTCCTTACGTAAGACGTCGCGGGAGATCCGAATGTTAATATATCCCCGCGCCTTTCGACGCCGCACGCCGCGCCGGCGGTTACCTTCGTCGCGGTACACCGTGTGTATTATCGCATCCGAGATGATCCACGGCTGTTAATGAAACGGCTAGCAAGAGGTTGTCAGCGGGACGTCGTTGTGACTAAGTTTGCAATTATGTAAACCGGCATCCCGGCGAGTGGAATACTCGTACACCTTGGTTTAGAGGCGGTGGTCTTCGTTGATGTGAAAATTGAAAAATCGATATTGACGCTGCTGACGTAAATTAGATACTTCGGAATGTGGCGCGATACGTTCTACAAGTGGCTCTCGGTGTAGAAGAAGCGAGAGTGCCCGCGTCGGATGGCAATAGGACAGACGTGATCCATTTACCTATATAGATTCTGTCTCACGTATATATAAGATTTCTCATCGTGTGAATGATATTGCAATTGCATGAACCACGACACGTGATTGGACTTCTCTTTAATTATCTACACCGTAGACTTTTCAACTTTTTTGTTGAGGAGTTTTTTTGCGGAAAATCTGTTAGTTTAATGAAGTATGAATCATTTCTTCACATATTCAGCAGCGACGCCGAATCCAGTTGTGCGTCGAATCGCTGTGCCGCTGCTGCAGTCGCGCCAATGCAATTAAACCTCGAAACCCGAGTCGACTGGGTGCCGCGTTACGACCCAATGTACATCGCGCAAGGAGTGTGAATGCATGGCAAAGAGCCGTGGCGAAACGTGTATCGCCAGCTTACTCGTGTCTTCCAGTCACAAAATTTTCTACGTGAACGAAATACAGCACGATACGCCATACCCAGGTGCGGAGATCGCGTCGACCCGCATTGGCCCAAAATTAGATCTGATTGGCATTGATCGCAAGTATAGGACTCTATGGGGGAAAAAAGGCAGCAACTGTCCATCCAAATAATTCGATTACTAATTTTGGTCCCCAAAATGGGTTGCTGTCTTTTTTTTCCTAGTGCTCTCTCATAAGGGATGCGTCGTGAAAGGGGGTGAAACCGAAGATAAAGCTACGACGAAAGCTCGATAGTTGAGAAATGAAGGATACGTTTGCGGGGACGCGTTTGACAGAGACAAAGCGAATATTTGAAGCGGATTGGGGCCGCCCAAGCGGCATTCCACGCGGTGCACCGAGAGCGCATTGAGAGACGAGGTAGGCGGGATGAGGCGAAAGAATGGCACGGCTCGGTCCACCCCGCGGTACCACGGGCGAGCCAATAACCCAGTCGAATTAAAGCGAACGAGTAGCGAAAGCTCGTACCGCTCGGCCGCTGTTCACCTGTGTTCTGTAACACGAGATGCATTCGCATTGCGCAACCGCTTGCGGCGGCTCGCCGCATGTAGCTCGTATGTAACTGGGTTATCATTTACAACCTGCGGCGCGGCGCGCCGCGTCACTGTTCTACGATTCTCCAATATGCCTTTCCCGTGTACGTTGGTAATACCGTTGATCTCACGTGAGATCACTCGCGTCACTGAGAACGGTACTTCTGTTTACGTTCAGGGGCGATCGGTATTAATGATCCACATTTTTTAATCCCGTTTCTTAAGCGTTGCTGATATCGTTTGATTATAGAGTCTACGAAAAGCGCAATTATCATCAGTTATTCTTGAAGATATTCGTAAGGTTTTAACTTCCCCGTGTAATTTTAGGTTTTAAGAAGTACATGATTTATGCGGACTCAGTACAATCTATTTGTAACATCTTTTTAGTCCTGTTAACTATCACACGTACAGTTTTGCTTATCAGTTACCACTTATCAAATGCACCTTGTATTTTCAATTTGTGCGATTGAAAGTAGTAATAACTATACACTTGCTATATAATCATACGAAATTTATTTGCATACATGATTGCTTAGAATCGCCGCAAATTGGATGAAACGGACTTATCGCATATTCCATTCACGTCCCGGTCGACATTTTTAACTAACGGGTATATTTTTCTTGTTTCTAGGTTACCACAGCTTGCCGTTTTAGCGAAGATTTTGTGCCTCCTGATGGTGAGTATTTTTACTTGTAATCATTTTATAACACTTATATTCATGATATAAATGCACGTATCATGTCGTAGTGGGTAGAAAGGTAAGTTCGAGAAAGTTATTTGAGAAAATGAGTGGCCGTGATGTAACAGTTAATTAGTAACGTCTTGTTTCGTAACCTATGGAGATTAAAAAATATTTATATTGTGAAGATTATCGGGAATTCGAGTATAAAAATACGGAAAATCCAACACTGACGTTTTTATCGCGCTACGATCGGTTTGTAATCTTATCTTTTTGAACGCGACCGACATTTGTAGCACGAGCCAATTGCATAAAGGTAATCTGATGATCAGTCGGCCTAGTTTCGCGGACGGTAAGGTTACGAGCGGCGTAAGGTTCGTATCGAGCTGTAGTTCCGCTGAAGCCGCAAAATCGCCTACTTCCTAGATCGCGAATGCATTATGCAAAGATATACGGCGGGCCGCGAGGATGACTAGGTCAGATCTGAGATATTCCCTGCACGAAGAGGTCGGGACCCGGGAGGATCGCGTGCTGAAACTCGTGCCAAGAATCAAGTAAATCGGCGATTACGCCGGCACGCACCTTACCTGCTCATAGATTAATGATCGGCGCTTCCACTCCTACGCGTTTACGGGCACTGACAATTTATATGGCCGAGAGGCGGCTGCCGGCTTTGAACTCGTCTTAACTCATTGCGGCGTACGTTTAATTCCCCGCTGTGGGCGCCGCGAAGCGCTATAAGTTTTGACGTCGCCTGAATTTTTTAAGTACCCACGACGGCGTTCATTACGGAACCGTTAGCTTGCCATTGCGCTTTGATTAAATGCGTGCATGATATATCGAGTTGTTCTTTCTTCTTTGATTCTCTCATTTCTAAACTGTCTATATGTTGTAACATATACTTGAATACACTTTAACTTTATCCATTTTTAATTTGTCACTAAACAAACTGACTGGCCATACTTGACTAATGATGCGGTAAAAGTAATTTAATCGATTATTGATTGGTAAAAACCCAGATTGTTAAATTGTCTCGACTTGGTAGTAAAATAATTGTCGTTGATAAAATATTTTTTAAACTCCAATGTCATACAATATAAATCATTGAGTATTTTAGAGATTGGACTCGCATGGCACTCGCGTTATTTATTATGTTTTCGAAATTGATGAAGATCTATGCTTGACTTCCCAAGATGATAAGGACAATTCGCGCGGCCGTCCCAATCATGCGGGGACTCGAGTCGTATTTAAATGAGATTTATGTATCCTCGATACCGGTCCTGAGCGGTGCAGTAAACGGTTCGCTGGTCCAATAAATAATTAAATCGATGGTCGGCTTAATCGCGAGCGATAAATTTAGATGTCGCCGATTGGAGTAACTGCACGGCAAATCGCAACGAGCGTATTCGAAGCTGTCGCCTTGACGGTACGTTTGCTAGGTGAGAATTTAATGAACAGCCGATATAAAAACGCAAAGTGCTATTTGTGCTGACAATTGTCATCGTTTGCGCGTTTGAAAGTTCTGCCGATTAAATGATAATGCGAATATCATGCTGATGACGCGGAATCAATTAGCGCGCCGAGTTTTTATCCGCGCGTCGCGATTATACTGCACGCAGCATTGTTGCAACGCAGAATTTAATATAGAAAATTTGGTGCATGCGACAAAGTTGTGCGAGGGTATATGATCTACTTAACTTTGTATGTTAAACGTTAGAGAAGCTATCAGCTCTATTCGTCTCTTGGGCCGTGCACGCGCAAATACGATCTACCATCTCGGCATTAAAAGGCTCGTGTTACAGAATCATATGGAACTGCAATAAAATCCTGCAATGCGAATTTAATTGCTCTTCCCCGTTCGCACATATTACTGTTCGCCTTCATTATACGGCGGTATTTCCTTGTGATAAATTCTAAAGTAAACGCGAAGCATTGATTCTGAACGCGTAATGCGCGAAAAATGTCAGCATTAAGAACAGCCAATTTGAAAGTATTAACATTCAACTGCAAGGACGTGTTGCGATTTATTTAATATCGCAATTAAAATGCTCGCACTAATGAATTTTCGTATAAAATTATAATTTAGAAGAACGGCGTCATGCGATATCAACGCTCTTAGTGTCACGTCTATTATATATGCAGATTCGTGCGTCATTCGAGCGTCGTGATTGCTCGATCGTGGTAAGCTTTCTACCTCGATGTTCGTCGGACTAACGCTCGTTGCATCGGCTATCGCAGTATTGTCGGCGCCACTTTTGATATAAACGAAACGCCAGTTTCGGCGACTATTAATGGATGGCTCGTGTCCGCTCGTTAACGAGATCTCTGCCATCAACGTACACCATCTCCGAGCGGCCAGCACGACGACTCTCCGTCTTCGTCTGACACGGTGCATTTTTATCCGCGCGCATCTCTCGCGGGAGGAATCCGCGCGGGCGGATCAAGGAAAGACTCGATGTCGTGATATGTGAACCGACCGTAAAAGCGTTCTTCTCGGCAGCCGTGAAAGAATTTCGACGTTCTTAACGACTCTCCGTTCAGTCGTTATTGTGAAAACATGTCACGCGAATTCTTCTCCCGCCGGCTTTGTCATTATATTCAACGGAAGATAAACTATCAGATAATTCAGATAAAATAAAGCGCGAGTCTAACTTTGGATCGAGTCGCTCTTTTTCTTCCTTATAATCTCGTCATGTTATCCATCACTTTTATTCCATGGATGGACATGCTTGGCTATGTATTTTCATCCGCATTTAACACGTCGGCGAATAGAGGAAAGTTTTCTATTATGAGATAGGATTCTAATATAGGATAGTAGGTTCTCAACGTCCAAATCCAATCACAAATGTTTTCGCAACGATTACACGATCTTACATTCAATTTTCCACTGAACAGATTTCACTCCAAGGGCAGTAAATTCATGGTGAAACCAACAGAAGATGCTTATCAATTTAGCAGAAACTCCGCTATCTCATTAGTAGTCTATTCCAAAATAGGGGACTTTCTCTAATTCATTGAGTATCGTAGATAAAATGATTTGGTTTTCGACTGAAGAAATACTACCGTTAAACGAACATCTTGAATATTTCTATAAATCTTGGAGCTTATATGTAAATCGTAAAATACGCCATTGATTTCGTTTTGGACATATTAAGAGCACGGCTGTCCAGGTCATGTGCTAATTATTTTATTTCTGGAGCGTCTCGATTTTCGATTCACTTCGAAAGATTACTTGGGTATCTTGTAAGGGCAATTTGGGGCGAACTTGTCTAAGAGATTTGAGAATGTACGTGCTGCTTTTGTAATCGCAGGTGGTGATGTGCGGGGCGGTACCGGCGATGGTGCGCTCCGTGAGTCTCTACTCGTCTTGCAGCAGCGGCAACGTTACCGTAATAGGCCGCTCGATCAAAGCCATAGGACGCGATGATTACAATGCACCCTACCGTAAGTAAAACCGCAAAAATCTCCACTTATGCCCCACTTGTTGCTTAAAATTTAGATGCGATAGATAAAACATTTTTTGTTTTGATAAAAGGTATTATTTTGTGGCTGTTGTAATACTTTGTTGCTCCTCTCCCGAAATATCTTTCAAATTTCTGTGGAAATAATTCAAGATATTTTTGTATCTATCACATTTTCATAACTTTTTTATCATTTTGTGACAAAAAGATGTCTTTTTGAATTAAATATATGTATTTTTGATTGAACGAGATGGAATGAGGTAAACTCTTTATCACAGTTATGAAATTTATCAATATTTAGTTTAAAATTATGTGGAATTTATTAATTATATTGTTAATAGATCGTTAAACATACGCTATATGTTTAACATATAATATAATTTGCATACTAATTATCTAAAGTGAAAGAGATACTGTAATATTAATAGTAATAAGATCTATCTGGAATGAGATAATTGAATCTATTAATCGAGTCCAGTCAGCATTTCTTTACCATTTCAATAGTTTTGTGCGTACAAAGGGATTTTCGTCCGGGTACGACGCAGTAAAGAATTTAATTTACTGCGATTCTTATCGATCGACCACGGTCGGTCAAGAACCTTATTTCTCTCGTTTTCGCTATCGAATGCCTCTACGGCGGGGTTTTCCGGGGTGAATTTCCATTTTTACGAACTAATAATTGCAGTCCTATTTCCGCGAACAGTGCGCGTCGGACGCACAAATGTCGGAGAAGAAATGAAAGGAGTAAAAGAAGACGGCCACCGAGAAGTCTCGTTGAATTACGACGTAATTTTACCCCGTCTTGATTGTTTTCGGCTAGACACTCTCGTCGTTTGCTTTATCGTGCATCAAATGTATTTTACCCATTTTCTATTCATTAGAATCGGTTTTACGAGCAGGGTTGTGCTCAGAAATAAAAGGATTTAGCCTTATTTCTTTTAAAAGGAGTTATTCAATAAAATATATGGGACGTTTACACATAAGCGCTCGCTTATCTTCCACCTGTATTTTATCTCCTTCACATAAATCCGCCATGAAAGTAACGCTCATTTATAAACAGGATGTGTGACGACGTATTTATTAAATATTTGTCAAACATTCACATCCTTGGTTAATGCCCGGTTAAACCGGGCAAATCGCTGACACTGACTTATGAGGAATAAACACCTCTCTCTTGTCTGCCTCGCACAACCCGCTCGTTCACCTTAATTTGCCGATGACCCTAATAACAGTCCAAAGTCGAGTCTTTTTGAACGGAGGTGGCTAATGAGATTTTGAAATCTAAAGTTATTATAAATGCCTGAAGAAATTGAAAACTGAAAGTGTCTTAATTTCGTGTCACTTATTTTTCACACGTATGATAAAACAAATTTAACTCGAGAGAATACGAATTCTTTATTTATTTCAGGCGGCACAGTACTTTCATATTTTGCGAATCCGAGATTTTGTACAAAGCTGCTAACGCGATAGGAAATTCCATATCGTGGTTCAAGCATCATTAACTTCCACACGAGTCCTTCACTGCCAAAATGCTTCTGCCGCGGCGGTTGTTTTCGCATTTCGCGAGTTCGCGGGAATTATGCGCGCGATATCCCGGACGAAACGAGCGAACGAGTTGTCCGCCCTACGCGCGGCGCGAGTACGAGGCGGTTCCTCTTGAGACGATTGCCGGCGAGGTAGGGGACGAAAGGAAGGTTCGGAAGGAGGGAAGAAGGCGCTCGCTTGTGCAAACAGAGGAGCCAGTTTTCGCGCCGCACGCTGCGCGTCGCGTCTGCACCTCCCCGAGATCCATCACCTTTGCGTACCTCCTCCTCCTCCTCCTTCTCCGTCTCCTGCCCCCTTTTGCCTCCTCCTGCCTTCTTGCTTTGCCTCCACCTTTTCCCTCTGTTACTCTGCTCTCTCACCTCTCACGGCACTCAACTGCCGACAACGAACCTCTCCTGACCAGCGATTACTCAAGCCCCTCTCGCGGCTCGGAACGGCGTGTGCTGCTGCACGGGGGATTGAGACACTGTGAGAGAGTCCTTGAGGAGCCATATACCGTGGCTTCGAGGAAGAACGCGCCATAACAGATCTTCAGAAGTCTGGAGTCGAAGCTTCGTTGTCGCGCCACGAGCTGTTGCTGAATACCAGCTGATGTGGCCACTGAAGTCTCGTTTCTATTAAATAGCAGAAAAAGAGCTGTCGCATTGTAAAAATCCCACGACAGAGCTAAACTCAAATTAAGATCACAACATACGGAGGCGTGTCGTCTCATGCGCAATAGCGATTTTCCGTGAATCGTTTTACATATCGACACCAGCAACCGGGTAAAAGAATTACGTAATTCTCAAGTACTATTTTTCGCGCTTCACGCATCTATTAATCGAATCGTTGCGTCAGTATTATGTATCGAATATACAGAGTTGTGATTGAATTGGAATAACATTGGAAACGCACGAGAAGACTCGCTGAACGAATGGGGAACCGAGTCAGTTCGGAATGATAAATCGTAATTCAAGCGCTTCAAGTTAATAACACGATAATGACTATTATTCGTAATCAAGGTAAATAATAATTATCGACTTTTCGTTACCCGTACGCCGGGCAAACACAGATGCGATGGACGTGACGTGCCACACTTATAATTACCCCGTGACGCGACATACTTACCGCGCTTAACATGACTGCCCAAACACCTCGCGAGGCGGCTGATCCGTTTCTCATGTCCCGGAATTGGATGTCTTTCGGACTTGACACCCGCGCGAATTTCGACACGACGCGACGTCGTGATACTAGCGAGAACGATAGAGATTTGAACCGGGGCGTAGTACGGGCCGGGGAATCGGCTGCGCCGATCGCCCGGACTGGAATTTAATTATTCGAGTCGCGGTGGGCTGTGATTACCGCGTCAGCCCGATAAACCAGGCTTCACCTGTCGCACCTTTGATCCATCCCCGCGATACCTCGCGTTATGCATTCCCGTCCGTCGTGATGCGCCGGTGTTCGTCTACTGTGCATCGCCGGGGAGAGGACGATCCTCGCGCATCGGCCAATCGTGCGTTTAGGTGTTAATGACAGGTTCGCTATTATACGCGCGCGCTCATAACGAGAGATGCTGCGCCTGTACGCCGTATTCTCCCTTGCCTTTCCCTTTTGACTTTTTCTTGCGCTTTACACGGTCGGTACCGGCCATCTCTCCCTCGCGCGCGCTGTATTATAGCTTTCATAACGCCGACGCCGCGAAATTGTAGCGCCCCAGTGGTTCTCGGCCTCGACGCGTCGTCTCACCTTTGTACCTGGGCCGGCATTACGCCGACAGTTAATAGCCATATCGGTGCTCCTTGCCGCGCGGTAATCGCGTGTAATCTTCTTTTCTCCGTTTCTCCGAGCTGTGGCTTCTCGAATCCCCAGGTCTGATAAATTTCTCAGGTTGTATCGCGGGTCAGTCGTGAGATGAGGGACCGTTTAGGTGATTCGCTTCGACGCGCGATAGAAAAATCTGAGCAGTTGCGAACCTGTAACGAGCGGCGAATTGGTTCCTATATCGCGAGGAGCACGTAGAAGTAATATATGGGATCCATTCTTCTCTCCCTCTATCTTGCTCTTTTCCTCCTGCGCGCAGGCCCATCCTACCAGTTATTATCCGGAGTAATCGTGCCTAAAAGCCGGTGCCCGCTTTTGATTAAAATTGGCTTTTAATTCATTTGGCAGCCTCTAATCTCGCGGCGGCTCCGATCAGAGGGAACAGAGCGAGGGCGACGAGCCGATGGGTATAGAGGGAAGGGGGAAGTTGAGGGAGAGAAGACAGAGGTTTGAAGCGAAAAATTTAGTGGCTTCCTCTCTTCGTCCTCATACGCGCCGCCGAGCTTGCGAGTGCGTCATGAATAAATTCCGATGTGGCACCTCTCTCGGCAAGATATATTACGTCGATCGATTGCGGATAGGTCTTGGAAGACGTCTTACATGTAAAGCTCCGGATCCTTACAATTTGCACATAGTATTCGTTACAAAAATAATTTTTACTGGTGGCAATCTTATAAGTCGCCAGAAGTAATTAAAAACTTGGGAAGATTACTTGACCATGTCTGGCAAATTTTTATGTTTAAACTCACTACGTTGCGGCCATGGTTTCTCGTCCTTTTCAAGTGATAATGTTGTCAGTAAATCCGTATGGTAAATCAAAAGAACTGATCTTAATTTCACGAACAGACATGGTCAAGTAATCTTCTCAAGTTTTTAAAAATAATTTTGGTTTGCGGTTGTACTCCTAGTTCCTTTCTCGCGTTATTTTTCGTCCCTTTAAGTCAAAAAATGTCTTCACAGAATCGGGCGGGATAATTCGCTTCGATGTCCAAGTACTCGATTATATATCATCAAAATTCCTCCTCGATTTCGCCAAGTATCTCCGTTGATATCGAGATGCTCGTTGCGCTGAGCGCACGTTCTAGCACTCTGGAGGGAAAAGATTCATCGGCCGGAGGAGATCTGTCAAATGGAAGATTGAAATCAACGCGCCGTAGACGCCTGTCTCGAAAGTCCGCGCGTCTGGCAACTTACTAACAAACGCGTCAGCACTCGAAATGGCGCGCCGGCCTCACTTCCTTTCTTTGATAACGATAACCATCGCTTCGAGACGAAGCGACGGAGTTTCGCTGCGATTGCTTCGGTCGCCGGCGATGTCGACGGCGACGAGGTACCGGAAATGTGAAAGTTCGGTAATGGGTAACTGGAGCGAGCAAACACGTATAGAGGACTTTGTGAAACGCGGTAACATCGCTCGGGTTGTTATCATCGTATCTTTTTCCGCCATTGTACCGCAGATATTGCGCGACGCATACTTAAAATTCCGGTGTCACAAACCGGAAGGAAAGGGGGCATTGACTCCGTGCTCGATAGTTTCTGATTTATTTGCTCCCGTTGCGATACTGATATTATCATGTAACGCACATTCAGTGTCTCATTATCGATACGCTAGCTTCGCTGCGCCGAAATTTCCATATCCCGTACAACTCCCTCAATATCTCCGATAAAGTTCGTAGTAAGATAGCACAGAGCTATGTGTTTCAAACTGGTTTTCGTCATAGCACCGACTTTGTAAAATTTTGCACCGTTCGTTAATCGGCAAACTGTCCACGGTTAGCTGATTCTCAAAAGAGGAAATCTCTCGACATCTGTTATCAACTTTATCAGTATCTGTATAGAATATTTGTTTTCACGACGATAGTAAAAATAATTTCGAGGAACTTCATTTTCGCCAATTAATTACCGATTGATCGATCGCAATTGATCGGCCGGACAGATTACAATTTTCTGATCAAGTATCTGATACATTAAAATTATTAAGTGCAGCATCTGTGTCATGTAATTAATGGGTCTCTGGAAAAAAGAAGATTTATATTCTTTTTTTATTAATCTAGTTTTGGTAACATTTTTTATCGGCAACAGTAAAATATATAGAAATTTGTCTGATCAAGTTTTTTGATTTAGCTCACAATCAGTCTTCTTTATGCAAAATAATACTATTCGAGAAACGCGATGTACAGTTTGTGTGTACTTGTCGCTTATTTAAATTGCAAAGTGATTGCGTAATTTACGGCTAATTATAGTATTCAATTATGAGTGCTCTTGAAATGTATCTCTCAATTGCTATCTACAAATCGGTGCATCAGTATTCATAAAATCTATCGATCGCCGCGTTAAAGGGGGCGTAATCATGTGTATGTATTTCTCACATCGACTATCCCGATTCAAATGATAGATAAAAACAATAGTTTCTCTTTAATGATGCCGTCGGTAATCGACATCCCATTGCGAGCTAAATCCAATTAATTAGCGTAAGTGGCGCAATTAATTGGCGCAGGCTGCACACCATAGGCCAGTGAGATAGCAGTTTGAGATTAAGTTCTCTGCTTCTCACTTTTTTTTCATCTGCGAAGACCCGTGGAAGGCGACGAGGGAAAGAAGTGTAAGAAGAACGGGGGAGGGGGAGGGGGGGAGAGAGAGAGAGAGAGATATGGAGGGAGAGAGAATTAGACGGAGTTGAAGAAGGGCTTTACGAGGCAGTTTCGGGGACATTCTTGATTTCGATGTTGGAAGGGAATCCGACGAGAACCACTTGAATTTAACGAGGCTCCACGGCAAATGGGCCACCCTGCAGACTCGCCTCCTTTATTTTCTCTATACTACTGGAACTCATGCCGCACTACTAACCCATGGGCAAACACTCAATCTTAAAATTGCGCCTTCCGTCACAAAGTTTCCGAGAAACGTTGTGATCGGCTCTAGACAAACCTATTAGCAAAAGGACAAAACTTTTGCTGTTCCCCTTCGATTCCTACCGCATTACGGTTCGTGCCATATGTCGAAGCGAAAATCTTCTTGAATCGTTATCAACTATTTTTTACTTGGACGTAACTGACGAATAAATAGTTTCAGTCATAGTTTGGTCGTAAAGTGGCAAATTTATGTTACATGCGAAATAAAGGAAATGTTGCACCATTAACATTTTTCCTCTCGTAAATGGCGGGACGGGAGAAGAGGAACCTAACGTGAACTTGAGCTTAATGATATTTGAATTTAACATATCGCTCCTGACCCAGTTCTGGTAATGCGTTACAGCAACATCGGTAGATATTTCGTCAGAAGTGAAGAGAAAAGGTGAAGACGCTTCCGTCGCGCACCTGTACCTGGCCTGGTCCCTTTTTTTTTTTCATTCGACGGACAAAGGGTGCCTGCTTCTCGCTCGACAAAATTTCGTAACACCAAGCAGAAAGGATAGAGGGAAAGGGAGGGACAGAAAGAGAAAGATGAAGAGACGGCGCTGCACCGGCTACGGTGCAACGTGCACTTCGGGGTCGAGGCACGACAGGATCTGCTAAGTGGCAAAGCATACACCGGACGGTCTGTGCCTCCTTCATTAGCACCAACTAGCCTCGGCGGTAGGTTTAGCCGAGTCTTTTCTTCTTTTCTGCCGGTGCCGAAGAGAGCGCCGGTGGAGGGGCCCCAGTCGTCGTTGTAGGTACAACTCGCGCCATAAACCTCGACGAGGTCTCTTCTCGGAAATATGCCAGCGCGCATACCGAAGCACAAAACGGTTCGCTTTGTGCATCCTGTCGCCTGTCCTCTGGGATCGAAGCTTCGTGTTGGTAGAAACCGCGAGAGTTTCTCCGAGTCTCTTCGGCGTCTTCCGAGTTATTCTTCCATTCACAATGCATTATTTTACTCGCAAGTTGCAGCCACTTCCTCTTTCTTGGAAAGAATAATTTTAGAAATTGCTTCGAAAGCGCGTTCGCCACATTTTGTTAATAGATAAGAATAATCCTTTGTATAACGCAATCGATGGCTGTTTCGTTAAAAATAGTCGAAACGCATAATGAGTTTTTCTGTTACGTTTTGTGTTACAGAGAAGCTCACCACACAATCGGAAGATTTCAGTAAGAAGCTGTACATCTTTGCGGAGAAGAGCCAACGATACATTTGCTTCAATAAGCGGTGGAAACTCGTCGGCCTGGTAATTACTCGCCTACCAATTAGTAGACATGCTTCATCGTCTCAAGCGAGCGGGTACATTTACACGCGCCGGTAAACGCCTCGTATTGTACTGTCGTAAATTTCTATTCATCACCTACGCGCGGGGTTGTAATTTACAAATTGGATTATTAACAGTTTGATGATTCAAGGCTTCGACGTTTAGGATGCGTTACAAGCTTCAATTTTGCTTGATTCATCGTACGCTAAGTATCGCTCAGTTTGCTAAACTCTGTCCAGGGTACTTTTTAATAATTGCTATTTTTTTTAAACCACATGCAACAAGCGTTTTACTAAAATTGCGACTCTTAAGAAAAACACTCGTTCGTACAGTAGTGAAAAGATTTTCATGGGCATTTTAAATCTTTTGCAGTCTTGTATATTTTGCATCGTAATACGTAATGAATAAATATTAAACTGCCGATGTTGCGATACTATGACGGGCTGCAAAGGGGTTAATGTCGAAATGGCGGGTGGTAGTACATCGTGAACCGTTGACTATTGATTTGCAGTCGAAAAAACAGAGGGGACCGATGTGCCAGTTTTACGAGGTGTACAACGGCTCCTATCTGAGGTACAGGAGCGCCGTCAACGGGACGCGGTATATCGGCTTCAACAAGTTCGGCAAGCCGATGAAGAATCCCCACGGCAGGCAAGAGTGCTTCAACTTCATCAAGTACAACCCTCACACGGACATAAACCACCACAACAGTTTGGTGAACGCGGAGATGGGCGGCATAGAGCCGCACGTGCTCGTCTCGAGGAAACCGTCGTCGGTGATGAGGGCCACGAAGAACTCCCTGTTGCGGGCCGACAGTGCGAGGCAGCACGTCCACACGTCGACGCATCGCCATCGGCACTCGAATCGCTGGATGCGGCAGGACGGCGCGGACTCGGGACCCCGGAGACGGCACGGGAGCCGCCTGCCCGAGGCCAGCAAGTATTGAGCCGCGTGCGAGCTCGCCGATCAAGACTGCCTCCTCCGTACCCCGTGAGAAACCCGAGATCAGAACTGCCAAAATACGCTGGTGGATCGCACGGTCGGGATGTCAGGGGCCCGCTTAACGGGGCGCCTAATGTGTCGCGACTCGAAGCACCACGTATTCGTTCGATCGGTCGGCGAATCAAGAGCGCGGGCGCGGCTCGCCCCGAGCACACACACACACACGCCTTAAGCTGCGCCCGTTTAGTTTCCGTTTCCGCCCGCCGGAGCGAAGCAACGTTCCAGGGCTCCGGGTGGAGAACGGGTGTCGTCGTCGAGATTTAGCGTCCGGCTCGGCGGAGGACTTCCGCCGCGACGAGGCTATCTCAATTTCACGTGGTTAAGTTCGATTTACACTTGCCCCGACTGACCCCTTCAGGCAAGTATGTACCTCGTAACGTATAAGAGCGTTTTCTTTCTGATCGTTGATTCCTCGTCGGTTTAATTCGCGCGCGATGAATCGCTCGTTCTCTCTCTATCTCTGCCTCTTTTTCATTCACACTTTCTTTCTCTCCCCCCTCCTCTTTCTCTCTCTCTCTCTGTCTATCTGTATCCCTTTCTTTTCTTACAATTAGTCTCGTGACGAAGCGTGGCCAATTATTAGAGAATACCTCCTTTTCGGTGATGCGCGTCGCGGTAAACGCGCGACCATGTAAATTCATTCAGGCTCCGTTATCGCCCGGTCGATCGTTTGGCGACGCGAACGAAAGGAATTCACATCGCCTGGAGATCGTAGCGTAAACCGAACGGCTGCTGTGCTTCGAGCGCGGTCACCGGCCCGCGATGGTAGCGCGAAGAGACGGCGCACGTCGACGGACATGTGTTTCCCAATTTGCCCGACAGAAACGACTTCTCTTTCGGATATTATATCGCGAAATACCAAATTACCAATTACTGATATAATTCGCTCAAACAATGCTTGTGTAAAAGAACAAGCCGATCAAGGTGTACCATCAAACATACCTCGGAGAACGTGTCTCTCGCTTGTTCCTACGCAATGAAATCTCAATCTCAATGCAATAACGTATCTTAAGAAGAAGAGGAAAATGGCGCGCAACAAATTGACAGAATCGTTCGTGACACGATCGAATGAACAAGCGTCTGACTAATTCGTCGATTCAACAAGCACTTTTCGACAATAAATTGCGCGCTACCAGGTGGTAACGCGTGGACGACGGGAATCACGTTGATCGGACTTGGTTTCCCCGCTTCGAATCGAAGTGGGAAACACGCTGTCGGCGCTGGTCCAGCGAGGAAATACTTGTCACGTCGCCGCTCTTACGCTCGCCTGCGCAGTTAGAGCTCACGCCGCGCAAAGACTCTCTCGCTCGCTGTGCTAATTACGCCGCCTAACGTAGCGTGCGTGCGTGCGTGCCTGCCCGCGTGTATGAATAATGTGTGCGTGCCTGCCTGCGTGCGTACGTGCGTGCTCGCGATGTACACGCAGGCCTCACCGCCGCGCCGCCGACGCACAAACTCGCGGCGCGATCGATTGCGAACGTGCCGAGTCCGACAACCGAACGACAGTCCTCCTTCTCCTCCGAGGGGGTGGCTTTTCCTTGGACAATTCGCAATTCTCGTTTGCGCCGAGCGACGATCGGAGATCGGTATCGGGGGATCGTGTTCGGTGCCTTTTGAAAATTAACACGATGTCGTTGTGCGACTTTGAAATAGGAGGAACAAAATGTTTCAGATGCGGGACATTTGAAGGCTTGATACAAGCAAGGCTGGAAGTGCCATATATTGAAAAAGAAAGAAAGAAATAAGAATTACTTTTGTATTTATAGAAGAGCTCTCTACGCTAACGGTGTACGGCAAGAGACCGTGCATGTAATTTTTTAGAGGATTCTTACGAGATGCCGGACGGAGACAAAGAGTATTTTTTCTATACTTTTTCAAATGAATAAAATAGTAGTTTTTCATTTTTGTACTCTCTCCAAGTGCTCGTCTGTGTTCCTCTATCTCTCAAATGCAAGATGACATCGACAAATTGACGACATTTTTTTTAAAACAGATTTCACGCGAAAACAAAACGAAAAAGCAATTCGCCCACCTTCTTCTTTCGTGCATTCGAACGACGGCGATCGGTTAGAACTGCGTGTCTGCGTACGCGAGGATATTAATGTACTTGTATGCATTCCGCGTGCATACGTATTTCGCCTCCGGAACGCGTGTGAGTGCGTGTAATATAATGCATTATCGTTAATGAACTTAATCCTTAGAACGCTATCGCAGACTGTATTATTAGGCTAGGTACATGAATATATGACGCGGTGGCGACTCGACGAAGGGAACCAGGGGCGCTGGGGTTCTTCGCTGTTTCCGCGAGAGAACTCGTGTCTTGTGCAATCTTCTTATTTTCCTCTTCTATTTTTCCGCCGAGACCGAGCGCCGACCTCTCGCGCCATTTTAACTTTTCACAGGCACAAGGAAGGCGCCCCGGGGCGGTTCACTTTCGTAGACTCGCCACGAAAGGAGCGCCTGCCCCTTTTCCTCCCCCTCGCTCCCCTTTCCCGAAAGAAGAAAGAAAGAAATCGCTCCCTAGGTAGCTTATTTATTGAAATCACGTTTAGGTACTACGAAAGCCGAAATGCCCGAGAAACCCTTCGAGAAACCCTTGTACGTATATATATGTATATGAAGATATGCGCTGCTCTCTTTTCATTTTCATTACTCACCCTCTTCCCATTCTTTTTCCCTCCTCCATCAGTCACATTTTCTTAACTACCATTTCGCGCAACGTCATGTCACAACTACGGGTCGCTCGACGATGTCATTAATTATTAATTTATCGGATTTTAGCTTATTTATATATTTTTTTCTGGAAAAAGAAGAACATTTTCAGAGAACGCGCGACAAATTCTTCGTAAAGAGATCGGTAGTGTGTTACACTTGCGTTTAATCTTCCATCAATATCCAAATCATACGCATCTCTCTCACTCTCTCTTTGAATTAACGTTTTTGTATCATTGACTTGAAAAGACATTCTCTTTTGCTCCGCGTTCCTTCACTCATTTAAATTATTAAAATTCACGCTTTTTACGCCAAGTCTGAAAATACTCAATACCTGATTAATTTAATTGCATACGAGTGGCAGTGCATAAGAAAGCTTATTCCTACGGATGTTTGTATGTGTGTTAAAGAATGTAGGGAGCAATATGCACGTAGTAACGCCACGTTTCGTGCGACGAATCAAAAGTTTAGTCCTGCAACGCGTCTAGTACAAATTGGACACTCTTTTGTTAATCTTTTTGTATGATCTAAGAAAATTTCTTCTTCTTTTTTTTAAATCGCGAATCGTTCTTTAATTGTATAAAAATTTGACTTCTTTCGGTGATTCGTTATCGACACGTGGCGAGTGCAAGCTAAGCACGATAAGATGTCGCGTGTAAACAGAAATTAAACGCCAGCAGATGACCATGAGAAAGGCATAAAATCCGACGCTTATAATTTAATAACAGATAACTAATCTAACGTGTATATGTATTGTATTGTAATATGAGTATTGTAACTCCGCCTCTAAAAATTAACCAACTCGTTTTGTATGTGTAAGCATAGCGTCACGTAGCGAGAATCATCACCATGGCGTTCACGGCGATGCGGAGAAAAATGACAGAATAATTTTTATGGAGTATGCGAGTCTCCTCGAAAGCGAGATGTGTCACTGACTCTGTCGTTCTACGTATATGTGTAAAAAGACGAAGAAGAAAGGAAAGCGCATACGATTCCCGACCAGCGTCACTCTCGCGACCTCGTAACTACTCGTAATCGAGCCGTCTCGGAATTGCTTTCGGGGTCGAAAGGAAATTTCGCTGATTGTTTCTTATTGCCTGGTTCATTTTATATTTTATACTTTTACATTGACGAGCAATTTTGTTCGGTATTTAAACTCTGTTAGCGTCACATGACGTTGCGATCATCTTATCATCGCCGCGTGACTCGATTGCGAGCAGACCATCACCGCCCGTCCTAGCCTTACACACAGAACACACACATACACCACACACCACACACAGAGAAACACACACACACACACACACCTTTTTTTTAACTTTCTCACCCCCCATTGACGAACCAGAAAACGGCAGATGAAACGAATAGAACACAAGAGATGAATCTGACTACCCCTTTCCCCTCTCCTATAGATAGATAGTATACATACTAAATAAAAAAAAGAAAAGTAAAGTATAAATATTATATATATAAATAAAAATATATGAAAGATGTGTATTGTAAGATATTTAATACCGACTTGTCTTAGGCACACCCGATGACGATCGATAACAATGAAACGATGATAATAATTATTACGATGATTGTTGTATAACGAACGACGACGATGATGATATTCTACACTGTAATTCGCGTTGTAATATAGAGGCCCACCCGTTACCCACTAAATCGATGTGTCGATGTACCCTCGGCCGTGCTGTGCTCGTGTGCACATCCCGATGGGGGATGATGACCGAGAGGGAGAGATCGGACTGTGCAGGTGCGTCGCGCTTTGGACGACGGCCAATCAGCCGAACTGAGATTTTTCTACGAGAAGGACCGGGAGCCACTTTCGTAACTGGCCGACGTTCAACGACCGTCGCACTCGGGACGGGAAATTAGATCGGTTTCGATCGCGCCTTCGCGCTGCGCGACGTTAATCATCCCCGGCTGTAGCGCGAAAGCTACACACACACACAAACACACACACATACACACAGCTACACCCATCCGCATGCATACACACAGTATGCACGCGCACACTCGCCCTGTTTACGATGTGCAGCAACCTATTACGAACGAGCATAGCACGTCCGGCAGCAACTAGCAATAATATAACATTCCAACTTAAATCGCATATGTACTGCGAATTCTAATAATGTGTGCCGCCATACGAGAAAGAAAAACACTGTCAAATACACGCTCATACACTGCTATTCATCGTATTTATTATCGTACCGACTTCTTATCCCTCTAATGGCCATAATCGCGAGTCCGCACGCAAAACGACGATATGAAGGAACGGTAGCTAAACCAGTCTCCGGAGCGATAAAGTAGCGGACATACGATTTGGTCCAACGAGTTATGCAAACTGCAGAAACATTCGCGAACAGAATGAGAAAGAAAGAAGCAACGAAAACCGCGCGAGGGACGGGTTTGTCCCGCGCCTAATGTCTCGCAGGCATTACTCGCGTTTCTCTCCCCGAAATTTAAGAGTAATGAACTGTTGGCTCTTTTCAGAAACAAATTTTTCTCCATCTACAGCATGATAAATGTATCGTGTAGAAATTCTGCTCCAAATCGCAGCGTGCAGTGCGACAAATGTTGCCAAGAGTTTTCACGCGGCGGCTTGAAAGAGAGGGACTCGAACTTCATAGGGAACGCCGAATTTCTACCGGCGATGGATTTGTGAGACTGTCAATGTACTTAACCATCCACTCGAGTCGTCTCTCGAGACCGAAAGTTAAAATCAAACACATCAAACACATCCCGATGCTGGCGGCAACGGCCGTGCCGA